ATTCCTACTGACATTCCTAAGGGCGATGTGTGAATGCTGTGAAGCCGTGGAGAGAAAACAAATGAGAAATTAGGATCTTCTGGAAGAAAATATGTGCGTGGGGTTTTGGCTTTTGTGGGTTTTTGTTGAGGTTTGGGCTTTTTTTTTTTTTTCTTCCAAAGCTTAAAAAGCATTCACCTAGTTTGTTATGTATTTTTATAATTATGCTTTCGTGTTTTTAGGTTTTTAACATAATCCAAACTTTGGCCATGTTAAAAGCCACACTGTTAGTATTTTGTGTCCACAAACAGTTAACAGGGTCATGTATGAAGCCCCTTGGTTCCACTTCGCTTTTTTGCATAGAAGCTGACCACCTATCAACCCAGTCCAATCAAGGCAGGTTTTTTTCTGGAGCACTCTCCACAGAAGAAGAGGGAAGAGTTCAATTGTGGCAAAAAGCAGTCAGCCCCAGACAGTGAAACCAAAGCAAGCTACTTTCTAAAAATATCAGGAAAAAAAAAAAAAGAGGGCTGGGAGAAGCCTTTACAATAATCACATGGCGAGAAGGATGTTCCGGGCCAGAGGCAGAAAGAAGAAAGGCAGCAGAGACAGTAAAGTTTGTGAAGATGGCACAATGCTCCTGGCGAGGCAAGCAGAAGTTTAACCTGGCTTTGCTCGGGGGAGTAAGACGAAATAATGGAACCTCTTCTTACGACTCATCTGCTAAAGCTCTAGTCTCCTTAAATAAATGATAAGAAACCAGTTTAAGTTTGAAAAAGAGTAGTGCTGCAAACCAGACAGAAGGCTTTGTGTCAAAACCATCCAGTGCAGAAACCTGGCAGAGGCTGTCCGCACGGCAGGTTTCAGCCTTGACAGAGGAAGGGACAGATGTGTCCTTTTTCAGAGGAAACCTTTTCAGTGCGTCAGCAGCCTTAGTTTGGGGTTTGTGCTTAGTGGAAAATGGGATGTGGGTGAGGCTGGGCCCTGTAGAAGTCATGTAAAGAGAGGTGCTTTACCTTGGCCTTGCCTTAGGTGTGCCTGGAGCTGTGCCCCTGCCAACCTTGCTGCCGTCAGGGGGTCCAGCGGGGAGGCACAGCTGTGACTGGGGTTGTTCTCAAACTGCATGAGCTGGCCTCGTGCCCTCCGAGTGGGTGCTCACCAGGGCTTTCTTCTTTTCATGGAAAGAGGTGGTTTGGAATGTAGTTTCCAAATGTTGCCAGAGAATCTTGTCGAGATGCTTCTGCCCTGAGTTGATCAGGGCAGTCAGGTGGTTAAAAAGCCTCAGCCAGGTCTCTGCGTTACGTGGCAAAGTGCAGAGGCCCTTTAGAAGAACTTGAGCTTCAGACACCTGTGTCTTGTTTAGCTGCAGGGGGTGTGAAAAGCGCGTTTCAGTCGGGCTCTTGCTGCATGTGTTGTTTTTCATTCCGCCTTGCCGAGGAGATGGATGTGGCCTGGCTGCCTCTGGGTCAGCAGTCTTGCTCTTGCCTTTTGAGTACTCTGCAGATGACTTGCAGGAAAGCAAGAAGGCCACCATATGGTACAGTGCATTTACAGTAATTAACCTTAAAGTGATGAATGTTCAGGCCAGAGTTTTGGCATCTGTCAAAGTGAACCGAGCGATTTGGCAGGGGCTGGCTGGTGAAGGGTTAGATGGACCACGGGGCTTAGATGGTAGGTGAGAGGAAGCGCTGCATCAAAGATGATACCTAACTCCAAGATAATTAAGAAGCTGGCCCATTGTGAAGAATGCCAGACAACGATGCAGTGCTGATATCCAAGCAAACAAGGGCAATCCAAGGACCAAAGTCAGGGCCCAGATTAATATCCTTTATGACTCTTAACGAGGCTTGGTTCACTATGGTGTCCTGATTAAGAGAAGAGAGATGGCCGAGTATTTTGGCTGCACTCAGAGCTGCAGAGGCTTGAGATGTTAATGCTCAATTGGCTAGCAAGGACAGGGTAGGATTTTTGCTATATTAAAGTTAATGCTAACATTTATTTAGGTAATTGTTGGGGTTTTTCCTAGAGTGTCTGAAACCTTTAGAAGCAAGCTATTAGGATGCTAAATCAGAGTGACTGGAGGGAGAGAGAGAAGCTGATTTTGATGCAAATTACATTATTATATTTGCATAATAAATAAGCTTGGAGAAGACGAGTGAGGACAGAGCACATGTTTAAGTGAGAGGGACAGTTGCAAGCTCCAAGTTGAAAAACGCAGTTTAGTTTCCTCGAGGTTTGTGCGCACTATGAACACTTCTTAATTCAGCAGTGCTGCTGTCTGCAGAAGAGATGTGGAAATGAGGTGCTGCTCATACTTCCTGTGGAGGAGCACAGTAGGGACTGTGCATGGAGGCCCTTGTCTGAAAGAGTTCCTCGGAGAGCTGCTGTGCGTTTTACTTCACGGGCTGTGTGCCGCCCGAGGTGCAGCTTGGTGGGGAGGTCGCACGAGGCAGAGGCTTGTAGCACCCACCTGTTGCTTTATTGATGGCAATGGCAATGGATTATTGCTGACCTCATAGAATCACAGAATGGTTTGAATTGGAAGGGACCTCAAAGATCATCTAGTTCCAACCCCCCTGCCATGGGCAGGGAAACGCTCCACTACACCAGGTTGACCAAAAGCCTCATCCAGCCTGGCCTTGAACACTTCCGGGGATGGGGCGTCTACAACTTCTCTGGGCAACCTGTGCCAGTGCCTCACCACCCTCTGAGTGAAAAATTTCTTCCTTATATATAATCTAAATCAGCCCTCTTTCAGTTTAAAGCCATTGCCCCTTGTCCTATCACTACATGTCCTTGTAAAAAGCCCCTCTCCAGTGGGGGGAGGCTCTGCTGAAGCAAAGTGTGTGGCTGGTTTATATCCAAGACTAGCAGAAATGAAAAGTGAAGAAATGAGAAGGGAGCAAAGCGCTTTACAAAGACCCCAATGGTGCAATAATTCTTACGCCTGTGCTTAGCTCCGTATACGAGTGGTCCCAATGATTCACTGTTGTGTGAGGGCTTTCAGAATTAGGGTTTAAGTCTAGAAGGCCATGACTTACTACCTTCTCTTAGAAATAAGACACAGAAAAGAAATGACACAGATTGGCCTGTGCATGGGTCAAAAGTAAGTGATTTGATCTGGTTTATGCATTGTTAATTGGTTGTTTGTTTGTTTTTTTTTAAAAAAGTTTTGTGAGATTGACAATCCAGGAAGTATAAGATTTAAACTTGCCTAACTTAAAGGCAAAACCAAATTAACTCCCTCCTACTTTGAGTTGTGGAGGTCTGTGCTGTGTTGCTCTGACAGTGAAAGCTGTTGCCATTTATCATGACAGTTGTGCCAGTAAAGACAGAATCTGCTCAGAAAAAAGCCTGGATGTTTCCTGTGGGATTTTGCCTAACTAAATGTTTCCATATCAGATATGAGGGAAGCATTATTTATATTAAAAGAGTAACATATAAGTGGAGTGGAGAAATAGCTTGATACCTTTAAAAAGGGATGTTTTGTGACCAGGGTCATAGAAATTGTACTTCTGAGATAATGTTTTTCTGTATCGCATCCCTCAGCAGTACCAATAGGTATCAGCTGACATGACAGATTGCTGAAACAGATGTGGTGAAACTGACACATGGAGTTAATAATATTTTATATAAATCTCTCAATGATATCATCCCAAGAAATGAGCGGACTGATAAATGGCTCAGCCAGAAACCAAGAAACTAGTCCCTTGAGTTCTTAATGTTTTTATATAAATCTCTCAAGTGAGTTTTAACTGAAGCAACAGATTTCTTAATGTGCTCAGTCATGCAGGAGCGAACGTTTACTTGCCTGTGCCTTGCAACAAGATGGTCTTCCTATATTGGAAAGGCCGTAGTGTCTCTTTACTGAAGAAGGACGTCTGCTGCAGTGGTTGGTTTTGGAGCTAAAACCAGTAGGACAAAAGTTGGCTCATGTGGTATGGTACACTGATCACCTAACACGTGAATCTTTCGTGTAAATTAACAGCAACCTAGTTTGGGTTCAAAGCTAAGACTTCAGTACATCAAGTTCACCGTGTTATGTTTGCAAAATGGGACAATTGAGCATTCTCAGCCTACCTGTAGTGGTAGGATTGCGTGGGATGATATGTTTTTGTAAGGTAATCAGGCTCAAGTGCTTGAGTAAAAATATAGTATTTTTTCAATTCTGTTATTTAGGTTCTTTGTTATATTGCTAGCGCTGTGTTTCGTAGCAGAAGACAGTAGCTCAGCCTCCGGGCTAGCTCAGTGTTTTAAGGCTTAGGAAGCCTGGAGTTTATTCCTTATTCTACTGATAAGCTGAATCTGTTGGATTCTTGTATTCTTCACACGTCTCCATTTATTTGTTGTATCTGCCGTATTGCCACGCTGCAAATCTTCATGGAGTTGTTTTGCGTATAGAGCTTTGGGCAACTTGACTGAAAACTTTATATTAATGTATTTCTTACACCGTTTTTCAGCCATTTTCCCTTTAGGATGTAATACAGATCATTAGGAGATGTGCCACAGACGTTTTCATTTGGATTGTGTACAGCTACGCTCCATTATGAAGTGGTTGCTTTGCTGCAAATAATCTTATTTCTTGTGCTTTTTGCAGGATCCTGCGGGAATATTTGAACTGGTGCAGGTTGTTGGAAATGGGACATACGGACAAGTCTACAAGGTTTGGATGCCTCTTTAATTTGTAATATGTTCTCGAAAAAGATGTTTTTCCTAAAGCAGAAATGAGCACCGTTTGAGAAGGACAATATTGTTCCAGTAGTAGTCTGGTTTGTCTTGCTGTCTTTTCTGCATAATGCAAAATGGTGTCACCTGTGAAGCTCTGTGCCCCTTCCTTCTGCTCTGTTTTCATCTCTTTGCTGCCACAGATCAGATAAGTGTGTTGGCTTTTCTACTGACTTCCCTCTGCCCTGTTTGTTCTGTCCTGTGGTTATTTTCTCTTTTTCAAAATTATTTAATAAGTGGCTGGCACAAAGTCACATCAGTGATGGCTAAATTTGTCCTGGATTGAGTGGAGAGCTCAACCGAGGCTAAAGCAGCAGTACTCTTCAAGACAGAGGTGTTGATTAACCCTGCTCTGCAGGCAGGCTGTGAAGTTTTTGATTTCCGTTATTGCCTTTGTGGCTGTGATATCAAAGCAGAACTGCCAGTCAATAAACTGCAGCAATTAAACGTTACCTGCCGTAACATACTGTGTATGCTCTGCAAGGCACACCTTTACTTAGTTATAAGAACTGGCTTAGAAAAGTGTGAAGCCTTTCCTAAGAACGATCTAAGAGGAGAAAATAGATGTGAAGAAATAGGGAACTGAGTCTGTGTTGTTCCCATTTGGAGAAAGAAGACAGAGGAAGGAAACTGCCGTGCTGCTGAA